TTTTAAAATGAAAAACAAAATGGAAAAAGTATAAAAAATTTAAAGATAAATGCTTTTAAGTAAAAAGTATATAATATCCCAATGTATAGGAGTGCATTCAAAGTAAAATAGAAACTTTCAATAATTGTGTCAGTTGGTTAGGTGTCTGTCTTCAGCTCAGGTCATGATCTCAGGGTCCTGGGACTAAGCCTTGCCTCAGGCTCCCTGCTCATCAGGGAGTATGCTTCTCTCTCTCTCCCCAACGCACCCCCGCCAACAAGTTCTCTCTCTCTCAAATAAGTAAATAAAATCTTAAAAAAAAATAATTGTTTGTGTAATGAACTAGAACATAAAAAGGAGATGACATGCAATACATTTTACCTAAACTATACTGACATATATTTGCATCATGCCTGTCTTTTGGGGATATTACCTTTAGATATTGTTTATTGTTATTTTACAAATCTGCATTTTATGATCTAAACATCAAATTGAAAGGTGACTGAAGAGTCACCTTGGCTGTGCCACATTATATCATGGTTTCTATGAATCATCAAAAAAATTTTACTTGATCTGTTTGGTTTAGCTGCCATCCAGTGGATTTGTTACATAAAGATATGGATAAATTGATGTGTTTACTACAATTATATCCTAATTAATCCTAGGATAGCCAATTTATAATTAGAATCATGCTTATTTTATTTGCATCTTTGCTTATTTAACTAGGTGATCATTTTGCTATTGTGGTGTCATTAAGAGTGGTATCATTATGCACTCTATGCCTATTTGTTTCATTATTGGAAAATAAACCTATTACTCCAAAGGTTCATCCACTAAGTCTTAATTAGTATTTCATCTAAAGGCATCACTGTAAATTTAGGTATAAAATTCACATTTTTACTCATAAATAACTATAATTTCATGAAATCTTAATACCCCAACAGTGCCAAAGAAAAGTAGAAGAGGAACCTAGTTTTGAAGATGATTCAGGATAATTTTTCAATTGCAAGAAAAAGGATTAAGAGAGCTTTGACATTTATCTGGATTTAAAGTAACAGTAATAGATTTTGGACACATTTCAGGATTTACCATAATATTAGTTTCCATTTCCCTCCCCAACAAGTATATTGTAAGTCTATGAATTTTAATTTGTTAATCACTCCACTCAAAAAAAAAAAAGACAAATATCATCAACATATGACTTTATTCCTCATGTCTTTTTAATTTCATGAGATAGTCAAAAGCCACAAATACAAAAAAAAAAAGAATTAAAAGTTTTCTAATTATTATGACTGTCATAAAACAAAACAAAACTGATTTCTTAACAGCTAATATTTGTGTCACAAAGCTGAACAATTGAGTTAGATTTGAGTTAGATGTGTGTATTTCAAGATATTACTATACCTAGAAGAACTGCAACCTGCAGTAGGGATTTTTATGTTCATCTTTCCTTGATCAACAGTATGGGTTGGAGAGTTCTCTCTCTCTCCATCTCTCCCTCTCTATTAAATTTCCAAAACCTTGGAAACAGATGCATGAGGATCTGTGGTGGCCAAAATGGCTTCATTTTTAAAAGCTAATTTATTTTTATGCTTTGTTGTGTTTGTTTTGTTTTACTAAAAATCAAGGAATCAGAAATTAAGGTTTTGAGTATTCTTATCTTGCCAGATTATTAGGCTTTCATATTTAAATGGAGCCTAAAATTATTTTTTTTCCTTAGATGACAGCATCATTCATGCATTAGAGTAGAATGGGCAGTTAGGGGTCTACTTCTGTTCTGAGTTTAGACACCCAGTCCAATTGCCAAATAAGTTTGAGTCTCCTTTTCACCATTAGTGGAATAAAGACATTTGAAAACACAGTGGCTGTTTATTGGGGAAATCCCTGCCATATAACTCTTAAAGCATTAAAAGATAAAAGCAGAATAAGGAGAATTCCAACATAGGTCTCTCTCCTGGAACAGTAAGACAAACAAACAAACAAAGAGGGGTGGGGAAAGGCTCCTGAGTATAGATGTGACTGAGACTGTTTCATTTCTCTTTGGCTTCTCTTTCTTGGCTTTTCTTTCTTGGCTATATAACAGTAGAAATCCTCATTTGACTTCCACAAATTCATAGAAGTTACTACCATAATGCATTATGGGTTTAGGACTGGGGCTAAAATTCAGGGACTAAGCTAATAAATCTTGATCCAAATTCCCTTTCAAAATTACATGTAGAGATCACCTGTCCGGAGTTTTCATTTTGCATTATCATAATATAACTTGATTGTGCCATGGTGTCATATATAATACATATTTCCATTATTTCCCTACAATTTTCATATTTTTATGAGAATTTATTGAACTATAACAAAAATGATACACTTCCTGCAGTATCTACAAAGAATTATTTTTACTACTAAAGGAGCTAATCTAATGTTTAATAATTTTTGTTGTTACTAATAAAGACCTATTAAGAAAACTCTTAAAACTTTGGGGTTATATGTGTTTGACTATTTTATATTCCTTATATAATTGAGATCATACAGTATTTGTATTCTATTTAGCATAATGTCCACCAGGCCCACCCATGCTGTCAAAGGTGGCAGGATTTCCTTCTAAGGCTAATATTCCACTGTATGTATATACCATACTTTATTTTTTTAAATATTTATTTATTTATTTGACAGAGAGAGAGAGTGAGAGAGGGAACACAAGCAGGGGGAGTGGGGGAGAGAGAAGAAGGCTTCCCACTGAGCAGGGAGCCCAATGTGGGGCTTGATCCCAGGACTCTGGGATCATGACCTGAGCCAAAGGCAGACGCTTAACGACTGAGCCACCCAGGCGCCCCTATACCACACTTTATTTATCCATTTATCTGTTGATTTAACAAACAACATTTAAGTTGTTTGTGGGGAGGGGGAAATTGGGTGGTGATTGTCAAAGAGTCCAAAGTTTCAGTTATAGAAGATAAATAGAGATAATAAAGATCTGGAGACCTACGCCACAGCATGATGCATATAACTAACAATATTATATACTTAAAATTTTCTAAGAGGGCAGATCTTATGTTAAGTATTTCTACACATATATGCAAAAATAGTAATAATAAACAGGGTGGGAGGAAACTGGGAGGTGATGGATATGTTTATGACTTTGATCGCAGTGATGGTTTCATGGTATATACTTATCTGCAAATTCACAGAGTTGCATATATTAAATATGTACACCTTTTTATATGTTAACCAATCTTAGTAAAGTGGTTTTAAAAAATATCCTCTGGTTTATTATGCTATATTTATGCATCTCTGTGACTATTACCTTGGATAATCCCTTCCTAAACTGAATCTTGGTTTGACCATGTAATTTGTTTTGGCCCTTTGGTTAATGGGTCAGTATCAAACATGACAAAGGAACAGACCCCTGAAAAGCACTTTCCTGTACTTGATCTTGGGGTAGCCTTCTGGGTGTTGAGAGGCATATAGCCCAGTCAGTCCCACTGCCCCATTGACAGCCAGTCAGCTCTACAAAGCAATATTTTCCAAATGACCAACAATTGAATGCAGATGCATGAGAAAGCATGTCCATTGCCCGAGGAAGAACCACCTAGCTGAGTCCAGTCCAAATTGATGACCGTTAGAATTGTGAACTAAATAAATATTTGGGGCTTTTTTTTTTTCTGTTACTAAAAGTTGATGTGGTTTATTATACAGGAAAAAAAGTTAACTGATATCAAAATCGGTACCAGAAATGAGGCACTGCTGTAAAAAGAATAAAAAACATGACATTGGCTTTGGGATTGTGTGACAGGCAGTGGCAATAAGGAAATTGTTAATGCAGTCCAGAAACACAGGGAAAAATCTGTTAGTGAAGGCTGAAAATTTGAGGAAATTGTTTTTGGATGCTAGAAAAATGGCAGCTTGTGTGGGTAACAGTTGGCAAAACTGTCACTTGTAGTATTCTGGAATCTCAAAAAAGTTCCTAAAACCTTTTGGGTCTGGTTAGAAATGATGCCAAAAATATCTGTTAGGTGAACCTAACCACATAAAATAAGGTGTTATAACAGGTAGCTGAACTAAGCAGGGGACCATTTAATATGTAAGCAAAATTTAGAGGGCAGAGAGATGAACAGGACTTGCTAGGTTAGAAAATAAACTTGACTCTCAGTTCATCCTCTAGCTTATAAATGATTTTTAAAGAAAATGCAGTTTAAGGAGGAATATTCAGGCAAGGGTATGGCTGTACAAACCACAAACTTCTCTTAAAACTTCCCAACTATTTAAGTGAGTGCCTAGTAGTTTTTCAACCTCAGTACTATTGACATTTGGGACTAGATAATTCTTCATTGTGGGGAGTGTCTTGTTCATTGAAAGATGTTTAGGAATATCCTTGGCCTTTACCCACTAAATGACAGAACACCACTCTCATTCCAATTGTGACAACCAAAAAGTGTCTCCTGACATTTTAAAATGTCTCCTGAAGAGCAAAAGCCCCCTCCACTGAGAGCAGATGAGTCAGACAAAAGGGATTCTAAGGATCTTTATGACATTGTCCATAGAAGCCTGAAATGTCCAGAGTGGAAAAAGGCTGATCGCAAAAAGAACTGTTGGTGCATTTTTGCTTCAATAGAGTGGGCCTCAATTTGATATGTAGAAATTCCACAGATTTTTAAGAGAGTTTTATTAACAAAAGACCATACCAGATTAGATAAAAATGGGATGATACTGCTGAAGTTTCTAAAAGACTTTTGGACCTTTCTGTGGGTAAGTAACAGGCTTAGAAAGCAACTACATTGTAAGTACAGAGCATTTTTTTTTAACATTAAAAATAAAAATGTGTGAGTGTGTGAATCCAAGAGTCCAGAGAGAAAAGCCAAGAATAACAGAAGATAATGGAATGGGGAGTCACTCTCAGGGAACAGAACTGGGCCCTCATAAAGGAACATTCTGTGTATAAGGGCCTTGGCAACAGGTACCTGTCAAGACTTCAGAAGACTTATACAGCAGACTGTATAAGCCTTTTGTTTCCCCACCCATTACAAACCACAGAATCTTTTGTGACTCTCCCATTCCTATTTCCCCATGGGGTGGGTGTATGTATGAGGAGGTCAGATAACTTGCTTTTTATTTCATAGATTTCAGAATCAAGAATAACTACATCAAAAATCTTCATTAAATTTGATTGTAGACTTCAGGGTCTTGGATTTTGAGATTGATTCCATGATCATCCAGTGAGACTTCTGGGGGTCCTGGTAAGAAAGAAATGTCTTTTGCTTTATGAGAAAAGTGAAGCATTGGGGTCAGGGCACCATTATAACATTATAATCATGGTTCCTTTTTTACTCATGCCCTTGCATATTCATGCCTGCAATGGTCTCCTCTAACACTGAATCTTGGACTATCCGCATGGCTTCTTTTGGCCAGTGGCACAATAGCAAATCTACTTGATATGAACAGATAATTGAAAAAAACTTGCCTACTGGGGCTTGTTCTCTCTCGATGCTCTTTGACCCTCTACATCTCCACCTTGTAGAGATGGCTGTGTTGGCCTCCTGGGTGAGTAAGACATGGGACCAAGTCACTCTCATGATTTCAGCTGATGAGTCAACCCCCAGATGCAGAAGCAACTCAGAAGCAGAAATAGCAGCTAAACACAGAAGCATGAGCGAACCTAATCAAGACTGGCAGAAGAATAGCTTAGTTGAGCCCAAGTGAAATTATTAACCTACATACAAATCTTAGAGCAAAATAAGTGATTGCTGTGTTAAGCCACTAAATTGTGGGATAATATAATCATTAAATAGTTATTCCCAGAGAATCTGCTGCTAGTTGTAATTCATGTTAAAAATACTATAAGAATGTTAGATTTCCACACCACTATATCTCCTTTTTACTAATGTGTGCATAAAGCCTACCCACAGTAGCTCCTCAAAACATATTTAGTGAAGAAAAAATAATTATCAGCCTCTAATTGGTTTAGATAACGGTGTCATGTTTTGGGCTACCAAATTGTCTTCTGTGATAACTTAGAACATATTTCACCTTTAGATGGGTCCCCTATTAATTTCAAATGATTTAATCTCCCCCTTTCCTTCCTTCCAATTCTGAGACTTAGTGGTTAAAGGAAGCTTTTAGTAAAGCCTGTCAACATCCTCACAAGGTAAGATCAATGTGATACAAGCAGTTGCTATTTTCCCTTAAAAATTATTCTTAATGATGAGAATGCCCTTTATTAACAAGAATATAGAAAGAGTTCACTTGCATAAGCATACTAAAAGGGAACTAGAGAGGGCAGCTCTTCATCTTCATGTGGGAGGAAAATCCAAAATAGCAATATGCTCAGTAGGCTATGTGCATGGTCTAATCACAGGGCTGTGCATGTCACTTTATTAATTAACATATAAATGGCTGCTATTTAAAGCCCTGTCTCTGAATGAATCACTAAAAGATACATCAACTAGATATTCCGATTAATGAGACAGCATTGCATAATATTATAGAAAATGTGTATCTCTATTAGGACACTGGGAAATTGGAGGAAGTGGTGAAGAGTGTGGCAGATGTCTTCATCAGACAGAGCTGTGTGACAGCACCCAGATCCACTTTGACTGGAATAGCCTTGGGGAGTAGAAAATGAGCCAGGACAGGGCAGGGGGATACAGTTGTATATGTGTTACCTATTATGAAAGGATTTGCTTAATGCTTTTTTGTAGTTTGATGGGATTTATTTTTACAACAAGATCCTAGCCAGGGTCATTTCATTTGAAGACAGAACTGTATCTGAGAGAATGGGAAAGAAGAGATACATGGTCCCTATTATCTTACAAGATATTTGAAACTAAATAATTGCTACCTTTTATTGAAAAACAGCTTGTTAGACATTGTTCTGTTCTTTTAAATACCATAAGCCAAGTAATATATTTTCATGAAATATATAATATGTTATAGAAATATTATAAAACACATAATATATGAAACTGTATACCATGATCTCAAAATTTTGGAATAATTTAATTTTTAGCCAAGAAAAATTTATTATTATTTTTCCTGGCTAACAACAATAAATGTAATATGCAGCAACATTTTTGTACTGAAAAGTGAAGAGAAACAAAGGATGGCATGTCCCTACCTGACTAAATTTGTAATATTAACAAATTATTTTGTCCAGTTACATTATTATTATTTTTTTAAGATTTTATTTATTTGACAGAGAGAGACACAGTGAGAGAGGGAACACAAGCAGGGGGAGTGGGAGAGGGAGAAGCAGGCTTCCTGCGGAGCAAGGAGCCCGATGTGGGGCTTGATCCCAGGACCTTGGGATCGTGACCTGAGCCAAAGGCAGACGCTTAACCAACTGAGCCACCCAGACGCCCCTCCAGTTACATTATTTTTAAAGATATATTGAGTTTAAAAAAATATATAGTTTAGGAGAACCTGGGTGGCTCAGTCGGTTAAGCAGCTGACTCTTGATTTCGGCTCAGGTCATGATCTCAGGGTCCTGGGACTAAGCCCCAAGTCAGGCTCCACACTCAGCAGGAAGTAGCACTCTCTCTCTCCCTCTGCTCCTTCCCCTGCCTGCTCTCTCTCTCTCTCTCTCAAATAAATAAATAAATATTAAAAAATATATATATATTATGTAACTTTAATCACATAAATTAAATATAAGATTATATACATTGACATCTTTACAATCTTAGAGAAACAATCTTTTCTGAGCTATATATAATTTTATAAAGATCAATATTTTATTTCATAGCAATGGTTGCATCTAGATGTTTCCTATATATGTCGGTATTATGCACATTAGATTTTCTTTAATAATTCTAATTTCACGTAATATTTCCCTGTCTTCTTGAATGGGTCATTAAGCCTGATATTAAACAATACTACTTAATTAGCTTAATAAGTATTGCCTAATACAAATTTTATAATTAGAGGATAAAACTTTTTTTTTCAATAATTAAAAAGGGATACACTGAAGACTTCTTTATAATCACATCAGTTTTTGTAGGGTAATATTTTTGGAATGTATGATGTTGATATATCTCTAGTTTTAGTATACATTTTTTCATCACGGAATCTTTTTTATTTTTAATTTTTTATTGTTATGTTAATCCCCATACATTACATCATTAGTTTTAGATGTAGTGTTCCATGATTCATTGTTTGTGCATAACACCCAGTGCTCCATGCAGAATGTGCCCTCTTTAATACCCATCACCAGGCTAACCCATCCTCCCATCCACCTCCCCTCTAGAACCCTCAGTTTGTTTTTCAGAGTCCATCGTCTCTCATGGTTCGTCTACCTATCCAATTTCCCCCTGATTTTCTTCCCCTCCTGCTATCTTCTTCTTTAACACGGAATCTTTTTTAAAAAAGGAGCAGTGAGACATTCCTTTCTTACCATCCATGTTTGATTCAGATTTCAACAATGGCAAACATTTCATCATCATTTCTACTAGGAATGAACTCACTTCATTTTATTGTAACAAGTTATTTTTGAAGGTCAGTGCCTAATTTTGCATGAGACATTGAATGACACAGTTTTCATTTAAGACTGGCTTCCAATATTTATACCATTAGTACATGTAGGTTCAATTTTTAACTTGTTGATGGTGGAACTGGATTTGATTACACTTAACATTGCTGCCTACCTAGATAATCTGATTCTAGGTAGATACATTTAAAAAAATATTATATATCAAGAAGGTGCTAATTTTAAAATTTTACTGATATAAACATTTTAAATTTCACCTAAGCTAATTTTTTTGTAGTTTTTATATATTATGCCTTCTCCTGTAATATTTTCGGTCCTTGCAATAATCTTTAGTTCTACGTCTGTCAAGTAATTATTTCTTCTCCTTTATTTCTTTTTTAAATTTTATTTTATTTAAAGTAAATTAATTAACATATAGTTTATCATTTGTTTCAGAGATAGAGTTCAGTTATTCATCAGTTGCATATAACACCCAGTGCTCTTTATATCATGTGCCCTCCTTAATGCCCATCATCCATTTACCCCATCCCCCCATCCACTTCCCCTTCAGTAAACCTCAGTTTGTTTCCTATAGTTAAGAAGCTCTTATGGTTTGTCTCCCTCTATGATTTCGTCTTATTTTATTTTTCCCTCCCTTCCCCTATGATCTTCTGTTTTGTTTCTTAAATACCACATATGAGTGAAATCGTATGATAATTGTCTTTCTCTGGTTGACTTGTTTCACTTAGCATAATACCCTCTAGTTCCATCTGTGTTGTTACAAATGGTAAGATTTCAATTTTTTGATGGCTGAGTAATATTCCATTGTCTACATATACCACATTTTTTTTATCCATTCATCTGTGAATGGACATCTCAGCTTTTTCTATAGTTTGGCTACTGTGGACATTTCTGCTATAACATTGGGGTGCAGGTGCCCCTTTGGATCACTACATTTGTATCCTTTGGGTAAATATCTAGTAGTGCATTTCCTGGGTCATAGGGTAGCTCCATTTTTATTTTTTAAAAAGATTTCATTTATTTATTTGACGGAGAGATAGAGAGAGAGCACAAGCAGGCAGAGTGGCAGGGAGTGGGAAAAGCAGACCCTGGGATCATGACCTGAGCCGAAAGCAGACGCTTAACCAACTAAGCCACACAGAGGACCCTATTTTTAATTTTTTGAGGAACGCCCATACTGTTTTCCATAGTCGCTGTACTAGCTTGCATTACCACCAACAGTGTAAGAGTGTTCCCCTTTCTCCACATCCTCGCTAACATTTGTTTTTCCTGACTTGTTAATTTTAGCCATTCTGACTGGTGTGAGGTGGTATCTCATTGTAGTTTTGATCTGTATTTCCCTGGTGCCAAGTAATGTCAAGCATCTTTTCATGTGTCTGTTGGCCATTTGGATGTCTTCTTTGGAGAAATGTCTGTTCATGTCTTCTGTCCATTTCTTGATTAGATTGTTTTCTTAGGTGTCGACTTTGATAAGTTCTTTATAGATCCTGGATACTAGCCCTTTATCTGATACATCATTTGCAAATATCTTCTATTCTGCAGGTTGTCTTTTGGTTTTGTTGACTGTTTCCTTTGCTGTGCAAAAGCTTTTTATCTTGATGAAGTCCCAATAGTTCATTTTTGCCACTGTTTCCCCTGCCTTTGGAGACATTTCTAACAAGAAGTTCTTGTGGCCAAGGTCAAAGAGATTGCTGCCTGTGTTCTCCTAGAGGATTTTGTTGGATTCCTGTCTCACATTTAGGCCTTTCATAC